TCGCGGTTGTAAGGAGGAATCTGGGAAAACAGTAGAAATCTCAAAATAATGGAGAACTGGATAGTGGAGCCGGGAGGTGCTGCCGCGTTATCCCAGGCTGTCGAATGATACGGGTAATGCTCCGTGTAGGCAGACCACGGTGCCAGGTTTCAATAGTGGCAATTGTCACGGTGATCCAAAGTTAATGTAGTTTATCAGTGTGGTGTATTGGAGCCGCATCAGCTGAATCATCCACGGAGCTGAAACCCTATCCATGACCATTCCATGAAACATTTCTGGAGGAACGCCACCGGGTTCGGTGTAGTCGAGCGTCGGCTGCAGGCACAGAACAAAGGTTCACGCAAGCAGCCTCGTCATGCTCACGACGAGCGTGGCAGGGCGGATGTAGCGGGACTCTAAGCAGTTCCGTCGTGGCCTCTCAGCGACGCGAGCGAGCGGCGTGTGAGCAGAAGAGGGTGTATGATGGACCAAAAGAGGCAAGCCTGAAATGAGGCTGAGTGGGAACGTCGAGGTTGTGATGGTATGCTGGTGTGATCTGCCCCGCCGCTAGCGCTGTATCGTGACTGCGTAGTGTCTTCGGGCCTTTGGCTCCACCCTCGACGCCTAGTGTCGCCAGTCGTCGTGACGGCTCGCTGCAATTTGCACGATCGCGCTGTTCAGTCTCTGGCCATAGTTTGATATCTAGCGGCACTCCATGGATCGTCAGTCCTGCATTAACGGCCGTCGAGTCCGCAACACCTAGTGGCCAATGCGCGCGTGCAGCCTGCAGGTCATCCTACACCGAGATGGTGTGCCGCCAACCATCTCATGTGGCCCGCCCGCCATCACTCTGCCTGTCACCCATTCCTTTGCGCCCTGGGATCCTTACCTATTCTGCTCACGCTGCACTAAGCTTCTCATCCACACCGCACGCTAATGCGCATGCACTGCACATGCAGGGCTCCTCTTCCGGCTGCTTCGCTCGCCTGTCAACATAAGTACCCAAGGAATCCTCCAGAATATGCATCCCGTACCCAGACATCTCGCGGAGGATAAACCACGGTTCCTACTAACTGTCGCTTCTTGCATTGCCCTCTCCCAGGCAAACACTTCCCAGGCAGCACTCGCATTGTCTCATATTCGTCGCCTCTCCCACGCCGTCCACTCGTGACTCTTCCAGACGCCTACCCAAAAGTCACGCATATATAGCTTGCGTGCGCCGCTCACCACTGGCGAACCTACTACCAAAACCTCCTACCAGCACCACTTGTGAACTCTCTTCACCGAGCGTTCTCGAGCTGCTGTTTCAGGAAGGACCGGCCAGGAGCCGGGGGAACGAACACCATTCTCGGTCACATCGCCTTTGTCAAGGTTGAATCAAGCGCTAAGCCATCACTGCCTGTTCGACGTTCATCGCTCCTTCGAAAGCTCAAGGACTTCCTCTTAATAATGCCTTCCTATCTACGAAGCACCCCTCGCGCCTACTCCTTCCCACCATGGGTCGAGAACGGCAACGACGACACTAATGAAAACGATCTTCCGGACATCGACGAAGACCCCTTCTCGCACTTCATCTCACCACCCATCACCGAGGCTGACGACCCGTACGAGCTGTCCCTGAGCGCAGGCATCGACGTCCAGGAAGGACCGCGCACCACCAAGTCTTCCAAGTTCAAGTCCAACCTCGCCAACAAGTGGACCCGATATGTCAAGCACAACCACAGCCAGCTCCACACTCAGTACCACGCGCCTACCATCTACGAAGAGGACGAGGAGGAGTCTTTCATGGGGCTCGATGACGATCGACTGAACGACACGCCACAAGTTGTGTCTCAGCTCAGCCCTCCACGGATCAGAATCACTGAACCATCACGAGGCCGCGCACAGGATCTCGCGACCCGCAAACAGCAAAACCGTCGCCGGTACTCGCGCACACTATCGGGTCATCGCCACTCATGGAGAGAACCCAGCCCGGACCTGTTCACTGTAGACGAATCTGAAGAGGAGGATGTTCCTGCGCTACGTCGCGCAAAGACGAGGAAGCCCAAGGACGGCGCAGAACGCCGGAGGTCATCGACCCGATCAAAATCAAGAGCACGAGTCGACTCGGTAACGGGAGAGTCGATCTTGTAGCACGGTAGTACGGCGGGATAGAGAAAAAGGTGCATCATGGGGTAGGGGTTGGATACACAGCATTGCGCGGCGTTGGTGGCTTTTTGACTTTACACACAGCATTGGAAGGCGTTTTTGGTATACCACGGGCTTGCATTTTTATGGTTACACGCATTGGGCGGTGTTTTACTGAGCATTTACACATACTGTACTGCATTGCGTGCCGCGGCAGCATGATAGCGATCGAACAACAAACAAATTCCACTTCATAATATCTTCAAGCTTCATCCCCTCCTTCGCACTTGGCTCGGTGATATTGCTATGACGACCTCATCAAACGCAACGGGCCAACCCCTTCCATTGACAGCCTCCGTCGGCGATATACTGAGTCGAGCACACGCAACCATCCCCCACCCGAAAACGCGACTACTGCAGACTAAGAGACAAGCGTGCAGTACCGTGACCTCACGCCGCATAACCCACGATAGCGAAAAACCACCAACAGCGCCCAAATTACCCCTCCACACGCCAGCAGCGAACATCCCTCTTTCGCGCGCTTACCGCTCCAACCCTAAACCATCCGAAAAACCACCGCGGCGACTGTCACAGCAAGAATAATCGGGTCTTCCGGCACCACCGCTACAGAGGCGAAGATAATCTTATCGTACCAGCCAACTCGATTTTTTTTCTTCCTCGTTTTCCGTTCAGCCTCACGATTGCCTGCAGCAGACCAAGTCGTGATTTTCGTCTGCCATTACTCCAACAAGGACTAGCCATACCGCTTTGTTCTGTATCTTGCATGCGGCCTCGTGCACTGCGCATGTTGCATGAGCAAGTGTGCCCAAGAAACATCTACCGGCATATATCCATCAGCTTCACCAACCACATTTTCGGATTCTTTACCCCTCACTTCCTCCATTCACGAAGCGCAGCGTGCCGACATTATCGCAGAAAAAGGGTATTTTGCACCGCGCATCTTTTTTTGGTGTGCTTTACGCGAAGAGATCTACACATGTACACAGCTTACCTTTCCCAAAGTTGATACAACATGACCTGATGTATCGTGACCACTTGTCATGTCCACGCTTTTCCATCCGCTTCGGATGGCAAGACCCTGCGTTTTGGACGATGTACCCTTTCGACCCTTACAGATAGGACGGCGATCTTACTATGGCGTGCCGCACAGGGTCACGCGGCGCGAGATAGGCGGCGGAGTGCTTTGATCCGGGGTCGGCATAGTTGACGATGGTACTGAATCATGAGGCTGCCTGGCGTGATTGTGATTGCGACAGGCGGGGTCTAAATCTTTTTTGGTGGTTTCCTCGTTACGACGGTGGGGTGGGGTGTGGGTTGGGCATGTGGCCTGTCTTCGGGAGGAGAGTGGCCTGTCTTCGGGAGGAGAGTGGCCTGTCTTCGGGAGGAGAGTGGCTTCCTGTGTAGAAGGGCCGACTCTGTGGGGTCGGTATTCGGAGACCCACGGCGCGGATTGGTGGCTGGATAAGATAAATGTGAGGTTGGGTGTGCGACGCCTGTTCGCGATCGAGATCGTGAAGGATGTGGTGTTCGCCGTGTGCATGGCATGATGTGCAAGACGTCGTCATGTCGGAGGATCTGGATATGTCGTGCGCAGCGCTGCAGCCGCCTGGCTGTCTGCGACGCAGGGCAATGATAATAAGGAAAGCCGATCTATCTGGCGTCTCGCTAAGTGGACCACAGCCTGGGGAAGCTTACGCGTGGAGTAGACTGGGTTTCGGGAGGCGTTGAAGTGGAGATGATCATATCGCCACAACTACCAACGAAGGGGGGATGTTCATTACAGTTAACGCTGCTGAACATATCCGATGGCAATTGTATGCTTCAAAGATGCCAATGTGACCGTGCTTGTGCTCGTACAAGCCTGATGCGCGTGCTTAGTGCGAACCTTCCAAGGTTACCTAGGTGCGCGCACTACGCGTCGGCCGGCATGACGTCGTCACCTGAGACGCGACTCCAGCTTTCACCACCCATGCACCACATCCTTACCCACCGTGACATCCTACCCTACCATCTCTAACATCCTACAGCACCATCATGCCGCGCTTAGACGAAGACACACACCAAACCCTCCGCGATGCAGAACAGGGGATCCGAAGGCGAACCGCCAGTGCCTGGGATAGCTTCAGCAACTTCGCCCTACGCGACAACGTGCTCGAAGTAGCCGTTGGACTGATGTATGTCACTTCCATCTAACAAGACAAAATCCACATAAGCCATACTAACTCACAACCCAGCCTCGCAGCCGCCTTCACCGCCGTCGCAAACTCCCTCGTCTCCTCCATCATCCTCCCCATAATCTCGCTCCTCCCCTTCCTCTCCCGCAACCTCGACGCCAAGTTCGCCATCCTGCAATCCGGACCCAACTACAACACCACCATATCCAATGGCTACAACACCCCTAAGCAGGCTGTAGACGATGGCGCCGTCGTACTAGCTTACGGCGAGTTTTTGGACAAGATTGTCAGGTTTCTGGTCGTGGCGCTGGCGCTTTGGGTTGTGGCGCTGGCGTATTCGAGGGGCAGCGGGGATAACATCGTCAAAAAGCAGGTCAAATGTCGGTTTTGCAGGAAGTATATTAGCGAGAAGGCTAAGAGGTGTGTGAATTGTACGAGCTGGTTGGATGGCAGGGAGGATAGGGGGTAGGATGTAGTTTGGAAGGTAAGTGTTGATATTGATACGGCAGCAATGACATCTCAGTGCGCTACAAGAGCTCGATCTTCATTTCGTCTTCTCAAGTTCGGAAGCACAGCGTCTCCATACCGCGTCCTCGAGACGATCTCTCCTACAACTAAATGCCCGGTTGTCCCACCGCGTAATTATCCCACGAATGTGATTTGGTCCACCTGGAAGATCCAATTCTTCTTGCAAGTATATCAGGGCACGAATCTTGGGTGATGCATATCTTCTAGGTGCACATCTTTTAGATGCATACCGATAAAACGGAATACCCTTATCTAGCTCAATACGACCCCTTTCAGATGTCACGACGTTACCATGGACTTCGAAGCGAAATCCAGCCTCAATTTCGCTTGCTTGTATAGGCTTGATATGGGCGCACGTAAGATCCTCCGTTTCGCCGTTGACGTAGGCACCGAAGAAGTGATGGGGCAGTCCGAGGAGCTTCTCGGCCCAATCCTCATCTTGGCCTTCTTCGTTGAGACGCATTGTGAGATAATGGGGATGTGTTTTACTCGAGCTGCTCTTGAAGCCGAACGGTGCTATAGTCAGGTATGTCGCTTTCATGTCTGGCTTGTCGAGAAATAGCCGCTCTAGCCTGATGGGCATGCCGTGGAAAGAGAGGTGTACCGGGAATCGTGCCAACTCTTCTCGCTCGGCCTCATTGAGATTACTGAACAATGTTTCCTCGAATGTGGCCGTGTCTAGAGTCACATCAGGCATCTTTACGCCGCCCTCAAATGAAGGAGTCTTTTCTCTTGTCCAATGCTCAGGCGGGGGGTACGTTACATGGATGAACTGATCATACTTCGTCTCATCACAAGACAGCAGTACTCTGGAATCTTCTGCGAGACTGCTAAAGTAGAAGTGAGATCCCTTTCTCAAAGTCCGCGTAAATCCTCGTTCTAGTACCTTCGTTCCAACCTTCCAATCATCGCAGTAATAATTAGCATCCAACGGACGGAGAGCGGTGATGAGGGAGGGGCGACCTTCCAAATCGAACTTCTCGCCAAGCACAAAGTTAGCCAGAAAGCTCTCTCCATCCCAGTCATGGGCGAGGTCTTTAATCGAGGAGCCACGCCAGCTGCCAAAGTCGAAAAAATATCGATCCTTGTTTTCGGGAAATGTACGCCTGTTCTCGTCCGTGGGGTGGAAAGTATACCCTTGATTGTGTCGTGAAAATACTTTCTTTAGAAACGACTGGTCATACTGACGTGATTTGCCCGGAGACTTCTCGATGCGGCCGCGCTGGATCCGGTCTGACATTTCCAGCTGCGTTTGAGAAGAACACTTTGATTTTTTAGAAGTAGAATGTTTGCGAAAGAGCGGTGCTTGTATAGGAAGGCGGCATAGACAAGGTCTTAGCTTTGTAGAGTCATCGGCCAAACAGTCTCACACAGGGATCGTCTTTGTCTCGTATGAGTAAGAGTTGATCATATGAAAGCGGTGCCGGTCGGCTCATGGATGGACAGAGGCTTCATGGATGCGAAACGTGGAACAAAGACTCGATGTCGTCCGCAACTCCACTACTAAACAGTTGCGACGATGGCATTGACAAAGGCGAGCACAGCTATCTCTCTAAAATTGTGCACCGAGCATAATGACAACAGTTTACTCGATGATGCGATCAAAAGCAAATGCCTTCCAGACTCCATCCGGTAGCTTGCCATCCTCCAAATCGAATCTACTCCCCCACTGATCGTGAACAGGTGGCGGAATGATGCCTTTAATCAGATACTTCTCCCCAACCACTGGTACTTCAACATCCTTCTGCAAGATCACGTGCATAGTTTCCCGGTTGTCTTCATTTTCCAAAGCTCGGCGATCCAACCAATCTGGCTTGACGGTTATTTTGGCTTCGTCGATGCTGTCAACAGTGCCCCTTAACTCGAAGCGGAGGCCTTTCTTGATGACAGCCTCGTCGTCAACTTTCTCAAAACGAGTCTCCACCAAGTCGACGGTGTCGGTGCTGTATAAAGCCCCGGAGAAGTGGAATGGTAGGCCCAGCATCTTTTCTGCCCAGCCCTCCTCTTTTCCCTCCTCATCGAGCTTCATAGTGACATAAAGGAAGCATCGTTGTCGTCTCAGAGGATGACCGCTTGGGCTTGTAGTGATACCGGCGGGTGAAATAGTGAGATAGGTGGCTTTCTTCTCTGGATCATCAATGAACAGGCGTTCAAGTCGAACTGGCACTCCATAAAAAGACAGACGTATCGGATATACATCCCAGGCCCTTCCCTGTTCCGTATTCGCTGCCCGAGGTAGCAGAGTAGCGAGGGGCTCCGCATTGAAACTAACCTCCTCTTGCCTCATTGTCCAGTCCTCTACATCGTGAGGCGATTTCATCTCTATAAAGTGGTCGAATGGTGTCTTGTCAGCCGACAATTTCACCTGACTGGGATCGCTACGCCAGGAGATCTTATAGTGCGATCCGGGAATGATCTCCTTTTTAAAGCCTCGTCTGGCGAGCCCTCTATCGATATTCATGAAGTTCTCATCTATGTACCAGATATGAGGAAGCGAGCGTAGGGCGATAACAAGGTCAGGACGACTGGCCAAATCGAAAGTTCCGCCAAGGATATCCCAGATGATAAATTCAGGGCCACCCACTCTCCTGCAGGCCACCTCGTCGAGGGTGAGGCCCTGATGAACGGAGAAGTCAAGCTTGTAAGGCGTCTTGTTGAAAGGGCGTAAACGCCGGTTGTCCGCAGTGGGTTTGAAGAAGTATAGTTGAGTAAGATTCGGGTTGTGCTTCTTTTCGGGAGACTTTCGTTTGCCGATACGGCCATTTCGGACGCGATTCGACATTGTAGCTTCCAAAGCCTCAGTACCTGCAATAGGTCTTGTCGGCTAATGGCTGGGGCCAATGACAGAACAAGTTTGTTACTGATTTGGATTTGAATGAAAGTGTCTTAAAGGAAGAACGCGGTTGTGGAAAGAGGATGCGGAGATGGCGGGTCCGCGACCTCGGAAGGCGAGGATATAAGTTTCATTTCTCGGTGGTTCTACTGAGCTAATCTGTTCACGGTTAGTCGGCGTTGCCCAGGTGAGGATCCCAATAAGCAAAAGCCCCCAGCTAACTTGAGATAGAGATAGATGAGTACTTGTCTCGGTCCTCTACTTATCGAAATGCACATCTCTAATCCTCCAAAAACTTCGCAACAAACTGCGCAACCTCCGCCGGCCTCTCCACCATGGGCAAATGACCCGCCCCATCCACAACCTTAAGCTCAACCCCACTCCCCAACTTATCCGCCATATTCTCTTTCATAGTCTTGGGCAACACGCCATCCCCCGCACCCACCAAGAACGCACCTTTCCCCTTGTACCCGGCCATCTTCTCCCTAATATCATACTGATGTAGCGCCTTGACCGAATCTCTAAATCCAGCCAACGAATTCGTCTTAACCATGTCCTTGACGCGCTGGATCTTCTTTGCTAGCTCAGCGTCGTCGTAGGACTCTTTGACGAACCAGCGGCGCACTGTCACTTCTGCGAGTTCTTCGCCGACGATGGGTTCGCCGGATGAGGCGGTTAGACCTTCTTTCTCGGCGACGGCGACGCGGTCGTTCCAGGCGTTGGCGTTAGAGGGGGGCGCGAAGGCGTTGGTGTCGCAGCCTATGAATGCGGAGATGCGGTCCGGGTAGGAGAGGCCTGCGTTGAGTGCTGTTGCGCCGCCGAGAGAGACGCCGACGATGGAGGCTTTCTTGACGCGGAGGGCGTCGAGGAGGGCGATGACGTCGTCTGTAAGCGTGTGGACTGTGACAGGTGATGTAGAGTTCGAGGGAAGCGTGTTGCGGCCTCGGGTGCTGTATCGGAGGACGCGGTACTTGTTGTTTGTGGCTTTTGTGAACTCGGCTACGAAGTCGTCCCAGATGCCGTAGTCGACGAGTATACTATTTGAGAGGACGAGTAGAGGCGCGTTGGGATCACTGGAGCCTTCGAGGCGGTACGGCAGTTGCACACCGTCTTTTGTTGTGACGAAGCTCTCGATTACTGGTCGCTTCCCTGGTGTGGTGTGCGCAGGATATGTCTTGACCATGCCCTCTGAACTCTCTGCTGGTACTGTGTCTTTGCTCGCCAGACTTTGGAGGTCGCGCTGTGCAGCACCAAAGGTGTAGTAGAGATCGTAGACCCTCCTCTTCCTGTCTTTTACGACATCCTTGTAGATCTTATCGCACCACTCCGTCGTAGTAGCATCCTTGAACTCGGGTCCTCCAAGCCCATTCTGCGGCGCGTACTCATGCAGCGCGAGGTACTCTTTCTCGGTCTTGTGTCCGCTCTCCAGATCTAGGTATGATGTTACGAATCTCCTTGTTCTCCTCCAGCCGGGAACCTTTTGCAGAAGAGGTACATGCTCCTCATTGTACCACTTCTTCAGCTCCTCTTCCTTGTCTGCGCCCTCATGCAGCGCAAAGCTCACGGCAATCATGACGTTCTTCTCTCCCTCGTTTTCAACTTTCTGCAGGTCCTTGAAGTCTCCACCCTTCCACTCTCCGAGGAGATCGTACGATCGCCTGTCGACGAAGATCTGCTTCATAGTATCGCGTTCTCGTTGCGATTGCACCGGTGCGCTTCGAAGCTTCGTGTACGGTTCCCTAGTGAGCCACTCGAGTTCGTCGAAATCGTAGATGGCCATCCATTCTGGCTTATCTTTAGACCCAGGTGCGCTCTCGAGATCCGTGGCGCGATAGCGGAAGCCATTGTTACAAAAGGGGAGGCGCAGACGATTGGGGCCGTGTTCGTTCTGGTACCTTGGAGGGGAAAGTGTCAGGTGGGATCGTGAAGTGGCAAGGATGCGACTGCGGAGGGGTCAACTTACCAATCGTGAAACTGTGCTTCAGGCAAGCCCTCCTTGGGCTGCATCGTCACGTACAAAATGCCTGGTGTTGATTTGGATGCCATTGTATCTGTTGTGTGGGGTAGCTGTGCACTTCAGTGTGAGTGTCGCAAGTAGATGAGAGACGACTGGGTGGAAATGGAAGATTGGGAAACGATTAGATTCGATGGTTGCGACTATACTACTCCAATTATCTCGTGCAGGCCATGACGAAGTTGGGGAAGGAAGAGCTCCCCCGACGACATCTGCCGACTGGCGTTAGTTCGGGCGACGGCGGTACCGCTGCCCCTCATTCTTCCGAGGCTGAACACAGACCCGCCGCTACCACGCGTGTACGCTACGCTTCGGGACGTGGAGGACCATCAATGCATGCAGTACTCACCCACACCAGAAATCATGCTAGCATGCTGAAGATGCAGCTTTCGTGATGCTATTTCTCTTGATGCTACCCACGTATCCTCTATGCCCAAGTATTGTGTATCGATCTAGTCGTACCAAATAGCATTCATACCAAAGCCTTTCTCACCAATCTCCAATCTCGCAACTCTTGCTAGAAATTCATCCTGCCACCTGTATATCTCCACGCCACCCTTCTCATCATCCGTAAGCGCTAACCACTCATCGGACCAAGGACACGGCGATACTGCATTCGAATGGCCACCAGAAGTTGGCGTGGGATTGAGGCAGATTTGTCGCTCAATGGCGCCTGAGGGAGCGATCTTGAATGCGGCAATGTAACCGGTGAGGGAGAAGGAGTTGGATCGAGAGGTCGCGAAGAGGTAGTTTGAGGATTTGGTGAGGAAGCAAACGTCGGAGCGGTACATAGTGGTTGCATTGGGGATACCTGGAGACACTTAGCTAACAATATAGAATGCGTAGAAGGGTACTTTACCAGGTGGAATTAGTGGGTACGTCTTGTGGGTGTAGACGGGGAGCTTGGTTTGCGGATCAATCACGTACTCGCACAACCGATTACCTGCCTCCATCAAGGCATACAGATAGTTCCCTGACGGATGCATCTCTACCCATCTAGGATGGTCTTTCGGCGCGGGCGCCTCAGTAAAGCCTACTGTTTCCAGCCTTCCTTCATCGTCTATCTTCTTATGGCACCAAACCCGATTGGCCCACATGTCCGCGCTGTAGAGATAGGTCTCTGAGGGGTCGAAGACCATACCGTGGATGGCAGTCTTGTCGCAGTACTCGAAGTTCTGGATGTTCTCTTTGATGTGGCCTTCCGGGTTGACCGAGAAGATGTTGCCGTAGCCAGCATAGTCGTAGAACGGATTGCAGTACACGGCATATGGAGGCTTCTGGGCGGGAAGGAGGAAGATCGCACGGGTCTTGGTGTCGGCATCGTTTGCTTTGGCTGTTGAACTTGTCAGTAATGGCATTGAGCTTCATGGTGTGTCGCTTACGATGTCCGCCCATGGGAAAGCTGCCTGTGTGCACGATCTCACTCGGGCTCTTGACTTCGTGCGAGCTCCATTTCTTCATAGAAGCACCGTAGATGTTCTTCCTCTTGTGCTGTCATCCTGGTCATCAGCTATTGTCGGTCACATCAAGGTCCAGGAATTGCGCGCATACGTCGAAAGCCATCCAGCTTATGGGCTCATCTTCTGGAATTTCCGTCTTCTTCACCAACTCCAGCTTCAATGTTTCATCATCGAATGCGACTGTAATGATCACACCTGGCGGCGTCCAAGTGCCGATCATGAGGTGATGCTTGACCATGTTGGTGGTTGCTTCCTTGCAAGGAACGTGTCTTTCGTATAAATAAACAGCTCGCAGCAAAAGCTGTCACTCTGGGATGCAATCCGAATCCCCCCTCCACTCTGCGATAATTCAGCCATCGCGTCGCGTCTCTAGACTTCAGGGGTCTGCGCCGAAGGCGGGGCATTAGTGCTGATGACGCTAGATTGTGAGGGAAAAAGGCCGGGTAAGACTTCTTCCACATCGGCTCCCTTTTAATTCGCCAACCCGCCCAGCGCGAGGCGGGGCAGCCGTCGCGACCTGGCGCAGCCTTCGGCACTGTAGCTCCTCGCGCTCATAGTACGTTTGAAAGCCGGTACAGCATGCCGCCAGACAGCTCTGACAAGGTCTCGCCTGATCCGCGGCTAGAGAGACGGCCATTGTCAACGGTATCGGTTCGGTTGGCTGCGGGCGGTAGAATTCAGTTACTATTTATTAAGCTCATGCCTCCCAGGCATGATGTCTATTCCGCACTACTTCCCCTTACTTGCCCTTTGATACCCTTTGTACCTTGATTCCCTATATAACCACACCTCCAAAATGGACCCAAACACACAGACAGCGCCTGAGGTTCAGGAGAATGGCTCGCACCGCTTCGACCCCAACTTCACCGACGCCGTCATCAACGCTATTGGACCAAATGTGCCAGACCGGACGCGTTTCGTCATGGGCAAGCTGATTAGACATCTTCACGACTTCATCCGCGAGGTCGAGCTGACCAACGAGGAGTGGTTTGAGGGTGTGCGATTTGTGAACTCCATTGGCAAGACCACAACAGCCACCAGGAACGAGGCGCATCGCATTTCAGATGTCCTAGGTGTAGAATCGTAAGTCGTCAAACCTTGAGCAAGTCCAAACGTCATACTAACTTCTACCCAGATTGGTCGACGAGATCGCACACAAGCACATCAACGAGTCTGGCGAGACACCCACCTCCTCCACAATCCTCGGCCCCTTCTGGTCACCACACTCGCCATTCCGCGACCTCGGCGACACCATCATCCGAAACCCGCATCCCGATGGCCAAACCACTCTCATGCACGGTGTAGTCATGGATCTCGACACCAAGAAGGGCATCCCCAACGCCGTCATCGACATCTGGCAAGCGAGCGCAAATGGAAAGTACGACTTCCAAGACCCCGAGAACCAGGAGCCCAACAACCTGCGCGGAAAGTTCACCACAAACGAAAAGGGCGAGTACTGGTACTACTGCTACAAGCCAACAGCGTACTCGCTGCCTACCGATGGTATGTTTTCTTCTGAAGATATTTTACGAGCAAGACTAACACACAACAGGCGCCGCTGGCCAACTCTTCAAGACTCTCGACCGCCACCCCTTCCGTCCCGCACACATCCATCTCATGGTTTCAGCCGAGAACTACAAGCCGCTCATCACACAATTATACCCCCGCGACGACCAATGGGTCTCGAACGACACTGTCTTTGCCGTCAAGGACGATCTGCTGCTAGACTTTGAACCTAGCAAGGACCCCAAGGCGAAGCTCGACTTGACATACAATGTTACACTTGCGCCAGCGGGTAAGAAGACAACTAGATTGGAAGGCATTCCCAGGTTACCGAATGTCTTTGATGAGCAGAGCAGATTGTAGATTAGTTCGTCTTTTGTGGTGTTGAACATGTATATATTTCATATGGTGAGATCTACTGAAAACTACGCATGAATGAATCTTTGATCGAACGATCTTTCAAAAACCTGATTTACTCACTCTTATCTGAACAACTAGCATTGCTCACCAGTGCCATGCCTCGCTATTCCGTATACCGGAAAGTATATCCGTGACAGTCCCTGCATATGCAAAAGAGTGATATATAGTCTCCCTCTTTCCCTGCTTCCTCACATCTAATGTTTCTCCGCCCACATCTAGCCAAGCTCATCCGCTCCCAAACTCGACCCATCACATCCACCATCCACGTACGGCCCCTCAGCACTACAACCCAGCCAAAGATGCGCGTCCCCTACGCCCCAAGCGAGCCCCCAAATGAAGAAGCCCGTCCAATCTACGAGCGCATCGCCGAGCGACGAAAGCCGCGCCCCCTCATCCCACTCGACCTGGCGCTGCTACACAACCCCGCGGTAGCAGACGGCTGGAACTCATTCATCGGCGCAATCCGCACGCAAACTAGTCTACCAGCCAATCTCAAAGAACTAGCCATCAGTCGCATCGCAGTGCTAAACCACGCAGTTCACGAGTGGGACGTGCATGCCGCTCTAGCATTGAAAGCAGGCGTGTCCAAAGAAGTACTTCAGACTATCTTTGATTTACCTGTTACAAAACATGGGATGGTGGAGAGGGAGGGGCTGTTGGGATTCAGCAAGGAGGAGTATGCGGTTATGGTTTATACGGATCAGATGACGGTGGGTGTGCAGGTGGAAGATATGGTTGCGGAGATGGTCAAGGGCGTGTTGGAGGATACCATGGTTGTGGAGTTGACGGCGACGGTTGCGGCGTATAATGCTGTGAGTAGGTTTCTGGTCGCGCTGGATGTGGGGGAGTGTAATGACAGGGCGATGAAGCGTGTCAAGGACCTTTGAGGGCTTGTTGGAGGTGTAGAGGCTTGTTGATAGATGGGAAGGGAGAGCGGAATTACGCCGCTTCCCTCTTCCCCGGACCCTGGTCCTCCGCAATCCATCAGTTAGGAAGGTGCCTCGGTCCATCAGCCGTCGCAAACCGAACTCCCAAGACGGTATTGTCAGACATCTCACCACTTTTCTTGACAAGTTTCCTCTAAACTTTCAATTTCCAGTTTACATCACAGTCAAAATGGCCTCCCTAGCCCCCCGCCTCTTCACACGCAGCATCCGGCAAACACGCGTCCCTCGCGCCGCCATCTCCTCCACAACAGTCCGCCACGCATCGACCAAGCACCCCAAAGCCTTCACACCCCCCTCGCAATCCGACCTCGACGAGCTCCGCGACTCAGTCCGCGACTTCGCCCAACGCGAGATCCCCGAAGACGTCGCCGCTCGCACAGACAAACAAAATGAGTTCCCCAACGAAATGTGGCAGAAGTTCGGCGAGGCGGGTTTCCTAGGCATAACCGCGGATGAGGAGTTCGGCGGACTGGCAATGGGCTACCAAGCCCACTGTGTCGTCATGGAGGAGCTGTCGCGGGCGAGCGGAAGCATAGGACTGAGTTACGCGGCACACAGCCAATTGTGCGTCAACCAGTTGATGTTGAACGGGAATGCAGAGCAGAAGAAGAAATACCTGCCTGGTTTGATCAGTGGGGAGAAGATTGGTGGGCTGGCTATGAGCGAGCATAGTGCTGGGAGTGATGTTGTTAGTATGAAGAGTACGGCGAAGGAGGTGGATGGTGGGTATCTGCTTAATGGCACCAAGATGTGGATTACAAACGTACGTTCCCTGTTATGCTCATATATGAGACTGCTAGGGAGATGTGCTAACAAGACATCTACAGGGCCCAGACGCACACGTAATAGTCGTCTACGCCAAAACCGAACCCAATGCCGCCTCCAAGGGCATCACAGCCTTCATCCTCGAGACCTCCACCCCCGGCTTTAGCGTCGCGAACAAACTAGACAAGCTGGGTATGCGCGGCTCCAACACTGGCGAACTTGTCTTCGAGAACGTCTTCGTCCCCAAGGAAAATGTCCTCGGCGAGATCAACCGCGGCGTCCGCGTCTTGATGGAGGGCCTGGATCTCGAACGCCTTGTACTCTCAGCGGGACCGCTGGGTCTCATGCAGGCCTCGCTTGATAACGTCCTTCCTTACACACACCAGCGGAAGCAGTTCGGTACGCCGATCGCGCATAATCAGCTTGTGCAGGGGAAGCTGGCGGATATGTACACGAAATATCGTGCTAGTCAGGCGTTCACATACAGTGTTGCCCGCGCTGTGGATGAGTCGCATGCTAGTCCCGATATCAAGACACAAGACTGCGCAGGCGCCATCCTGTATGCGGCAGAGAGGGCGAGCGAGGTCGCGGCTGATGCCGTGCAGTTGATGGGCGGCATGGGATACATGAACGAAGTGCCCGTTGGTAGGATACTTAGGGATGCCAAGTTGTATGAGATCGGTGCTGGAACGAGTGAGGTGAGGAGAATGGTTATTGGGCGGGCGTTTAACAAGGAGTGGAAGCAGGAGATATGAACGCTAAAAGGGTAACGAAATCAATTGCATGAGAAACAAAAGTTAAAGGTTACTTCTGAACAGAAACTCTTGCCAAATGCGACAAAGCGTCTTACTAAGTAAAGACCCCTAGAGTTCTTTCTTGCTTCCGCACCCCCAATTCCATTGTCTTCGCATCAAACCAGCACCTCACGGCCATCAACAAAGCAGTACAAGAGGCTTTGACGTTATTTGTCGAAATGGAAATGCGATTTCACTTGAGCGCAGACTTGCGCAGTCTGTTTTGCAAATCCTCACATAATCCTCCCTAACATACCAAGGCACCCAGCACAATCTGCATGCAATGGCAAATCCTCCGCGCCCATGGGTCGATAATGTCAACGGTTTTGACACATACGGAAGTATAGATGCCGATGATACAACACTCTATAATAACCTCCCCGACGATCCGACGAGAAATGCGTTTCTTGCACTGATGCGATGGCTACTCCAAATAAGGGGCAGAGACCTTCCCCGAGGATGCCCAGGAAGAAAGGTCGTAGCACAGTGGAATAAGAAGAGGAGATATTGGGAGAAGAAAAGACCCCTTGGTCAACCTGCGGCGACGGCAGTTGCACCAGGCGCTGCTCCGCTGGTCGCTCTACCACCCCCTCTACCTATTCCACCGCCCCCAGTATTGCCAGTAGCAGGACCACCCGCATTACCGGAGGCCGACGACAATGATGCGTCCGCGGCGTCATCGGAAGTCTCGAGCGGCGAGCGCTCGCCTACCTTTTTTCTTCAGAATAACCCTGAACGCAAACGCTTCTTAGCTCCTACAGCAGGTCAGAGAAAAGCCTTCTACAATCATGATAACGGTCGTTGGAAGTTTGCAATGACTTTGCACCAAACCCGGCTCGACGATGGTAAGCGGCGTTTTAGCCAGGGATCGATGCCTCGCAAGTCCGTCTACTTATGTGTTCGAACCAACAGTACTGGTGAAATTGAAGAGGTGAGTCAAATACAAAAAGCACATCCAGATGGCTCTTCTGAACTATTTTAGCGCATTACAGTGAAATGTCTAGAGGCAATAACAGACACAGAAAGGCAAGCTGCAGAACATGAGATCCTTATGAACAAGAGAATTAGTAGCCTCCACTGTTCTCACATGATCGCGTATCATGGCAGCAGCCACCGAAAATCCACTAAGAGATTCCGCAATCGCCCTGATGACCAAGTGTCAGAGCGAGACCTGTATAACATATACACGTCGTTTGCCGATCTTGGGACCCTTGCACGCGTCCATCGGGGACATGCAAATACTCCCCAAAAAGCTGTACCCGAGCACTTCATTTGGTACTTTCTTAGCCAAGCGACCGATGCACTATTAGCTCTGCAGTCTGGTACCTGTTCATCACCGAATGCTGAACCCCAAAATCAAGACGAGATGTGGCGGCCAATTGTGCACTCCGACATCAAAGATGCCAACATATTCCTACGGTCCAATAACGATGGGTACCCTGCATATCCAGATGTCGTTGTATCTGATTTTGATGTTGCTTTTGAGCAAGACAATCCGCGAGATGTTGACAACAGACGGTATCAGGGCACTCCTGGAATGCAGCCACCAGTAAGTACTGAAAAATTCATCACGACGGAGGCATTGCTCATATACAATCAGGAACGAGAAAACACCACGCAAATTAGACACGACTGGAAACCGGCTTACTGGGATGTTTCGGAGAAGTCGGATGTCTGGAGCCTGGCTATGACAGCCTGGGCACTGATGGTGGCTCATAAAGATTCTGAAGAAACCTTCTACAAACGAGCCAAAGACAGAACCGACAATTGGTATTCCAACGAGAAACTGAGGGAAGGAAACGTCGGCAAAGATGGCGTTTTCCCAACAATGTTGGAAGATCTTCCCAAAGAATACAGCGTGCGTCTCTGTAAGCTCGTCTCGTCCTGTCTGCGATATCATCCCAAGAGACGTCCGTCTCTAGATCGTCTGCGACAGGATATCGATCGCAACCTCTCCAAGTTGGACAGAATGTACGGCGACGAAATACACAAGCCGGTAGACGCTATCGCTCAAGACTTTAAACTCGAATTTAGCAAAGATGACAGCAACGAGTGGGCGCTGTATGCTCCTGGCAAGGAACATGTGTCGTTCCGAAAACGTCGGAAGCGAGCAAATACTGGCGCTCTTGATGGGAAGTTAACTGACTTAGTTGCTTCTTGGAAATCCAAGACCAGAGATGCTCAATCGAGTGCAGTGGCCCAAGGTCACGTACTAGATCTCGTCGACGGCATCGTCAACAGCTCACCGGACGATGAGGTTAAAGCGCTACGAGAACACGAACCTCATTTGATCGCTTGGCGCTTCCTCTTTTCAAGTATGCGCAAACGAACTTCCTCTGAAGCCAGCGTCTACAACGCTACGCAGAATACCGAGGAAGTTCTACGTGAAACTTTCCAGAGCGACACCAAAAGGGCAGTACTTGCGAAGCTTCGTGGTACGATCGTTCCCATCGCTATCCGGACCGCTGAGTCAGACGCACAGGAGGGCGCTGATGATACCACTGATATCAAGAGTTTCGACACATTAAAACACGCGATAGAATGGGGAGTGGTGCTTTTGGATATCGGTGGAGAGCCCGGAACTCCGAGGTTGCGTGAGAAGACGGAGATGCATCGTGGCATGCTTGATTTCCTCTTTGATCAACCATTTGACCTGTTCCCACCGGGGAAGTCAGGCGCAGATGAGGCAGATGCCGATGATTCAGAGTTTTCTCAGTCGTGATAACTATGTTCGCTTCCGCTCGGATCGTTTGTAGCTAGTGGTGCGGCGATGCTGAGGATGCGTCTTCCTCTCCTTTGTTGAGCGCCATACGTAGCATTAACAAAGCTTTGAACACTGACCCGCCACTAGGTTCGCCAGATCATATAGCGATTGCTGTCTTCAGACATGCGGTCGAGTGGGGACAGAATTTGCTGCGAGCGAAGGGTGAACTAAGACTGTCTTTGCGAGATCGTACTTTGTTGCACAGGAGTGTGTACAATCACATCTTCCCTGATTCGGAGCTGCGGAGAGACTCAAAATTAGACCTATGGGGTTATTTGCTAAGTAGGAGTGTCGTAATTATGTTGAAGTCCACACACTCCTGTTGCATGTGCTCAAACCGATGCGCTACACTGATCGATCACGCTGGTCAGTATGCAGCTGGTGTCGCATATCTTTTACCACGGGGTTGTTGGAGAAGCGCGATTTTGTGATGCTGCCTGCGACCACCACACGCCCAAAGTCCATGAAACAATTACCAAATAAGAACATGGTCAAACTATAGCAGCAGACATGAGCACAGGAGTGAATTTATGAGCAAAGAAGCTGCATCATCTGCGTAGAATGACGGGTCGTGATGCCCATCTTACTAAAAATTCCCCAAAAATTCCCAAATCTTCACCACACCGTCCTACTCCTTCCGCTGTCTAGGGACTGCACAGCAGCGCAAAAAGATGGACTTGCAGGGAATCGAACCCTGGACCACTCCCATGCTAAGGGAGTATTATACCACTAAACCACAAGCCCGGTTTTGCTCTTCTGCCAAGAGGACAGCCGAATTCACCGTCGCCCAAACGGGCGATGAGCGGTGATCGGTGATCGGTGATTGATGAAAAGTCGCCAAATTGTAACGTTTATATCGTTATATCGCGGCTCGACGCCCTGAGTGAGCGAGGTTTGATAAAAATTCGTGTTACGGGCCAGTGACATTTTACCCCCACTCAATCGACTTAGCCGTTCTCGCCGAAAACACCATGCAAGTTTGTGGGGCTGACTCGCGAATTATGCCGCCAGTCAAAGCTGCATCTTTCATTGGGATACATAATTCACGCGAATATTTCACTCGTTCTCGTCATCACTTATGGGGCAGTTTCTTATCCCTTTGCTAAAGACTTGTACAATTACTCACGCACAAGAAAAGCTCAGGGTAATCCTCGGATACGTCACATTTGGTTGTAGGTAGGCTCATTGCAGAGGTTCAACGTCCAGATATTGGTAGGTTGAAGGTGAAAGATACAACGCCATCGCAAGAGAAGGCCTTCCTACCCTCCTTGCATCCAGTTTTGCTCTATATGACCACATCATGGCGCTGCGTAATTCATAGCGACGTATCATTAATGCCAGATAGTTAGTTGATTTTAGTGTTGGTATTGAACCTTCGAAATACCCTTCCAAAACTGTGCAGAATGAGTACCTAGGTAAAGGTCAAGACCGGAGCGTTGTGCAAAAATACTTCTAATAGAAGACGATAGACATAGTGGTCGAAGCTGACTTCAGCGCTCCGATGATACAGGAAGGTCGAGATGGGATCTTTCATGTGCTCGCGGCGGCTGCAAAGGTGAACATCCTCAATGAAGCTGTCTAGTGCGTACGGAGCAAGTCCCCGCTGGAACTATACGCCATAAACCTTTCAATAACATACAGAACAGTAGCACCTTTGTGTACACCGTGGTCGTGATTGCAGTTGAACATGTGTTCGTACCTAGGTAGCAGCCGAGTACCGCGCTAACCGCTTACGACGACATCTTGGCAGTCGCGCGGTCCCAACGCGCCAAAGATTCCAGACATCAACCAACCCCAGCTTTCGCGCCCGCTGCATCACCACCCAAACCCACCCGACCGACGCGGCAATCCCGTCGCATCATCTCCGCCATCATGTACGGCATGAACCAAGCCTACCATGCCCCCGACCCGAGTGCGCAGGTGCCGAATCACCTCCTGCCCCATGTGCACCTGATATCCTCGTACCGCTTCCCTACTCTCCCGGGCCTCCAAGCTCCGCAAGCCCTCGAGTACCTCATCAAAGGCCCCCAAATCGTGCGCGACACGTCCCCCGTCGCGTGGACCTACCTTGCAGCCCCTCCCCAAGATGGCACTGTCATCCTCACATGGCAGCCCCCGCGCATGGGCACCATGTTCGCCTCGGACGGCATGGTTTGGGCTGATGCTGAGACCGCATACGATATGAACGTGCGCGGAT